TGCATTTAAATCTCGGCAACATCGAATTTCAACTTATTTATGGAAAATAATAGAGAATATACAACTCTTACATGAATGTAAAATGGATCGAAACGAACATTTACTTCAAATTATTTCTGAAGCTCAAACCGAGAATGATACGATAGATCCTGTACTTTTACTAGCAAATCAAGATGTCAATGGCGAATTTGATGATATGGACAACAATGAAGATTTGCTTGAGCTGCTAGGTAAGTTAGATGAATACACTATTGCTTTAGCCGTTGCCGCCAAAAAATCAACAGAAAAAATATATATCGAAGAAACAATCGAAGCAGTACAGAATGTCGGACGATTTACTCGAACAGATAGTAAGTGTCATTTTTATGCAAATAATATAACTCAGAATAATCACAATAATTTGTTTTAGCACACAGAGAACCTATATTGAATGAAGTTATCGATCATAGGAATCGACAAATTGTATCACTCGTTTCTGCAACGTCAAATCTTATTCGACTCAATACAAAATGGCAACAACAGCTAAAGGCCGAGAAAGAACGAATAAGGCGAAGTCTGGTTACAGGTAACTATGATAATTCTGATGATACGTTGGAATATGATTCTGTAATCGATGCAATTGTAACTTTAATAAATCCAAATAATTATAATTCAAACACGTTTGAGAACTACAGTTCTATTCCTCCAGTCATTTCACTCACCACAAGTTATTCTACTCAAAAAAGCATTGCTGATGAATACACATTAAATAGAGAACAACGAGCTGCATTTATGATAATAACAAGTCATCTTGATGGTGATAAACGATGTCATACAGGTATGTTTACATTACAAGTACTCATAATCCGAAATATTATGTTGATAGGTGACAATGATGGTCAACTGATAATGTGTATACCTGGATGTGGAGGCACAGTCAAATCGTAACTAATTCGTGCTATCACAAAATACTTTTTTGTTACAAAAAGAATGTAAATGATGCGAAAGCTCGCACCTACTGGAACTGCTGCTGCTGAAATTGATGGTATGACAATTCACTCATTTCTTGGTGAACAACGTAATTCACGAAAACCACGCACCATCAAACCAGGTGATTCAAAACTTGAGAAAGAATGGAGACTTGTTGAATATCTCATAATAGATGAGATGAGTATGGTTGGTTTAACTTTACTTGGAAAACTCAACCGGATTATTTCTGCTGCCAAACATGTCGATCCTCAAATTCCATTTGGTGGTGTGAATGTTATCATTTTCGGTGACTATTTACAATATCGGCCTGTATATGATGTACCCTTACACACCGATTTTACATTGTCTTCGAGAAAAAAGTCAAGTAAATTACTTACAGAAAAAGAAATCCAACAACGTATTGCACGTTCCTTAATTCTTCAAATTAATTGTGTGGTGAAACTTACTCAACAGATGCGAACAGAAGATTTGAAATACCTTCAGCTGCTCGAGCGACTTCGTCAAGGACAATGCACTTACGATGATTACGAATTATTACTGACACGTGTCGCTGGACAACCATCGGTCGGATCTCTAAAAGAACATCCGTGGAATAAAGTATACTTTTTTTTTGTTTTCAAAATAATTCTTCATCTCTCATATTTAGGCTCCTATTCTTGTATTTCGGAATGAAGTACGAACACAACTGAACTACAAAGCAGCGGTTCATAATGCAAAACAACTGAATCATTCACTAATGGTATGTGTTGCTCAAGATACTTGCAAAGGAAGAACAATTGAAGATCAAACACTCATTAAAAAATTATTGGAATTACCTGATAGCAAGACAGAGCATCTACCAGGTTTATTACCGTTCGTTCCTGGAATGCCTGTTGTTTTAACACAAAACATTTCTATTGCACTGGGCCTTATCCAGCAATGTCAAAGGTCCAAAAAATGTCCACTTTACTTAAAGTCCGC